CCCGAATGGCTTTGACCTGACCTTGACCTGAGGTCAACATCCTAAAAAGACCTAATCCAAACAAAAAGTATATCATTCGACGCGCCTGGCCACGACGAGAACGATGGTGCCACAATCGCGGCTCTACCCCCATTTGTGGCGAAGTTATTTATAAAAAACCAAACCCCTAATTTATGACACTTGACCTGACCTCAGGGGTAACCGGTTGGTGCAAGACCTTGAAATCGGATACCAATCGCTTTGGTTCGTAAAGACGCTCACGCTGGCTTTTTCCGCAAGGTTATATCTCAATTAGGAGCGAAATGGCTAAGGAGGGGGTCTTATCTACCCCCTCTTTACCGTGTTCGCGAACAGTTCATGAACGTTCGCGAACTGTTCGTTGTTTGTTTACCAAAATTTGACCGATGACGTCACTTGTTCGCGAACACATTTGTTCGTGAACAGTTTGTTTATGTTTGTTTATTTAAAAAATTAAACAAACACCAAACCCTGCTGATTTTCGACAAAATGCGTTTTACTCGGTGTTATAGCGCTTTCCCTAGAAGCCCCGTAAACGGTGAAACATTTTATCTTTGACCTGACCTGTGACGTCATCGGTGACCCCGAGGTCAATGAAATTTGGTTTCCTTCGACAAATTTGACAGGGCTATCGAACGCCGTTTGAATTTTCCGGATCCGTCCAGTAGTTTCGGAGATACGGGGGGGGCAAAAAATGCCCCCCCCCCACCGCGCGGAAGGTGGCCGGGAGGCCCACCGCCTGCCGGGTTAAAGTTCGGGTACCTATGCCAAGTTTCAGCTTTCTATAACCAGAGTCTTCAGAGCTATCGCGAGAACCTTTATAGGGGTGGCGGCATCCTTCCTCCCCCTTGGCTGGCGACGGTTAACCCGCGCCCCATTGGGCTCTGCCGAGCAACGCGCCCTGTTGGGGGGGGCAATTTGCCCCCCCCCCTAAGATCTCGAGAACCACGCAACCTAGCGACAAGCGGCAAACGTTGTTGGATAGCCCTATTAGGGAACTGTCTTGTGACCCAATTTTATTGACCTGGGTCAAACCGATGACGTCACAGGTCAGGTCAAAGGTCGAATTTTCACAGTTTACAGGCATTTCAAGAAATGCGTTGTAAAATCGAGTAAAATGCATTTCATTAAAATCATCGATGGGGAAATGTTCTTCAAACACATATTTTGCTATTTGAGGTCACTGATACCAGGTCAGGTCACAGAGGTCAGGTCACTGGGGGGTCACAATATTGAAATGTCGTGTGATACATGTTTTATGGTCCATTTTACATGACAAATGCGATTATGTGGGTCAGGCAGCCTTTGGGGCCAGCTTAGGTCACGTTTTGGTCAAGGTCAGGTCAAGGTCAGGTCAAGGTTAGGTCAAATTAGGTCAAATTTCAAAGTTGATATTTTTGCATAAAATGGGCATCGATTCGATGCAGCTTGTCACGGGGAGTTCAATGGTGGTCACGTGGTCTAGAATCGCTAAAAATTGAGTTCAAAAATTTGACGTCATCATTTTTGAACAGTTTTTCGCTATGACTTAGCCAAAAAACGAGATATCGATCTGAAATAGTATGTATATAGAAGAGCGTAGGGACTATCACATATACTCCGGTTTTTTCGAAATTTGGAAATTTTTTGATTTTTTTGAGTTTTTCTAAAAAAATCAATCTTTTGAATTTTGGGGGGTCAAAAACCCAAAATTTAGAAAATCCGAGATTGCAGTTTTATAGCGCCGCTTTTTGTCTACTAGACCATGTAAGGAACTTTGAAATTGCTTGATAACTGTAGATTTGGTGAGCGCAGGGCTGGGAAAGATGCTGAATCTGCTACATACCAGATATTACGAGAAACTCTTATTAGCTACATTGCCACAAATGTTCCTCACATCCTTTCTGCTAAAGAAAATGATTTTACAAGTCAATAGAAATTCTGGACAGAACTTTCCGCACTACCATTTTCTATCTTTTCTCAAAGTGAGCTTTAAATGCTTTGATTTAGTTGGCTGCACGCACAAAAAAAAGATACAGTGTCTTGCTTCTGCCCCCTGTGAATGTTCTTTTTCTTATTTCTTACTCTTTGTAGGAAGCATACAAATACCAAAATAAGGTGCTGTGGGGTTTTCTCAGGGCAAGTTCCAGCACCCCCCGGAGCACCAGGAAGCTCCAGTGAGCCCTAGAATTTTCATATCAGCATCCCAGCACCTTTAGGATTCAGAAGGTATTAGCCTACTCAGGCAGAAAGTATTTGAAAGAAATCAGGTTGATTTGGCTAATCAGTCTGGTCAACAATTTACAATCATTGTGCATGCCGAACCCGCTGTACAAATGTTGCCAGTTGTCCACCTATCAAGGTTTAGAGGTAACATAATAATTGAACATTAACCCTCGCCGGACGAGGGGGGGGGGGCGGGTGCCGCCCCCCCCCATAGGGTTTTTTCGCGATAGCTCCGAACACGCTAGCGATAGAGAGCTGAAACTTGGCATACCTGACCTTTGATCCAAGCCGGATCTTTTGACACCAACCGCATTTTTGGGTCAGGTCAGGTCACTGACCTATGACGTCATAAGTGAACCTCTGCACGGTCTTCAGATGTCGCAACTTCGCAACGCCCTCACTGCCAGAGTAGATGTCACAGGGAAATGAAACTTGCAGGATCTAGTATCCATTATGAGTCCCACAACTTGTATATCTCGGATTTTTCCTAAAGGTCATATGAGGTCAGGTCATTTTCGTGACCTCACCATTATAAGTCAATGGGGAAAAATGAAAACTGCTATTCTGGCGCCGGGAACGATCTCCAACTATCTCAAGCACACAGAATCGTGATTTGATGCACTCCTTGCAAGGTTAGATGCGTCATTTTTGCGATGTTGACCTTGCGTGACGTCATTTATGACGTCATCAAGGTCATATTAGTTTTTCGTCAATAACTCTTGATCAAATTGAGCTAGCGAGTCGGGAAAGCCACCAATGGACTCAGGAAGGCCTGCCGAATCGAATGATATGCGACATGACCTCTTTCGACCAACTTCGTGACCTGGGGGTGCTGACCTGACCTTGACCTGAGGTCAACACCCCAAGTTGACCTGACCCGGACAAAAAGTATATCATTCGACGCGCCTGAGCGAGGCGAACACGATGCTGCCAAAATCGGCGCTCTGCGGCCGTTTTTTGCGAAGTTATTCACCAAAAACTGAACCGTACCTTGGGGCACTTTACCTGACCTCAGAGGTCACCGGTTGACCTAGGACCTTAAAATCGGATACCAATCTCTGCGTCTCGTAACGGCGCACACGCTCGTTTTTTCCGCGACGCGCTAGCTCCACCAGGGGCGAAACGGCGAGGGGGGGGTCGTACCCGCCCCCCCCCCCCTCGGCCGGCGCGTATGTAGAAAACCAATAGGTCCGGCGAGGGTTAAAGAAGTAAATAAAATATTCTTTTCTGGGCGTTACTTGATCAATATTTCAATCAGATCTCACCTTCTGCGCAAATCCGATCATATCTCCCTATATCTTCACATCTTGCTTTGCGTGCTGGGCGGCTACCTTGCTCTTTAACTGGGTACTGACTACTGCACGCCGCTATACGGACAGTTGTCATTACAGCACTTGAAATTAGGCCTGGAACATCCCACTTCCCCAAACTAGAGGCAAAATGAAAGATACACTAAACACTTGCCGAAATGATGCAAAAACACCCAGAAACACTCATCAAAACCCATCAAACTACCCACGCGAAACGACAACTAGAATGGTCTCTAATGCGCCAGAAACAACGCATCAACCAAACACACAAACGTAAATTATGTTTTTGTATATTTTTGTAAATGTTTCTTAATGTTACTTACAAAAGAAGGTTTATTTGTGCTTTGTTACTCGTATTCTATTCAAATATATATATATATAATTTAAAGAAAAATACACTAGAAACTGACAAAAAATATTGTATGACGTCATCAAAAAGAATTAAAGACGTTGCAGGATACTGCTTCATAAAAGATGGCTTTTTAGAGCTGTCATGGGCAAAATGAGTTGATTCTTTTCGTATTTTTATTGATCATTGAACAATTCCCTTTTTAAGACAATTTGTTTTGTTTCGTAAATATGTCGTTGCAATATTTCACAAATAACAAAATTCCTTTTTGCAATATTTATAAGAAAGATAGCGCATAAAAAGGCGTAGCAGATACCTTTAGCTACACGACTCAGAGTATGAAGAATTAGTGAAAGCTACACTGGAAACTGCTACAAAGAGCGGCCAGATTCGTTATAAAATGGAGCACAAAGCTGACGTTTTGAACTTGTGTTGGCTTTACATCTATGTTTTGTTCATATTCGCCGACGAGATCACTGACCGGTGGTACCTCTATTTCGAAAATGTGCGAATTTTGATGTTTTTATTGTATTTTTCTTTATGATCTACGGAAGAGAGAAATGCTGATTTTGCTACAATTGATGGAACAATAAACCGATATCTGCTACCTACTGGGGTATGAAAGTATGAGGGATTTCCCAGCCCTGGAGCGTTTCAAGATTGCATGTTTTTTGCTCATTTTTGCTCGAACATGACCTCGGTTTGACCTCAATAACTCCTGACCTAAGGTAACCTAAGACTTGAAATTTGATGTGAAAGTGTCAAATTGATGCCCGGGAAGGTACTCAAAATTTGGCGGCGCCGTTTTCTTGCTATTCAGGAAAAAACACTGGGGGGCCAAATTGCCTCCCCCCCCAACGGGGCGAGGGTTAATTACAAGTGCATTTATTGGTAAATGTATGCTTTGTGTGACAAAATTGTGTCGAAAAAGGTATATAGATGAAAATTAGATGAGTTTTGATTCACATGTATCTCTGGATATAAAGGTGACCTGTTCTTGTTGTTGTTGTTGTTGTTGTTGTTATTGTTGTTGTTTTTGTTGTTTGTTTGTTTTTTGGTCCGGTAAGCTGTTGATTAGGATTTAGCGTATATAAATGACACGCCGCGATGCCACTCACCCACTACTGTAACGTTGCCCTTCTCCAGGACGGTCTCGTACGGGTAGTCTGTGGAGATTTCGCAGCCGTACTTGCCCTCGGTGTCTAGGTCGACTGCCTCCAGGACCACCTTGGAGTCGTCCGACTCTGCCACCTACCGGCAGCAGTGCCGCGAGTCGCGACCGGTCAGAGAAGGGACACTTCAGAGAGGGTTGCCCAACTGAGACTGGGTGAAGCTGCTACGGGGATATGATTTTGGGGGTACTACATAAAGCAAGCTATCAAGAGACTGGCACGCATTGCCCGTAAAAATATGGTGTGACAGCATGTATCATTTGATATTTATGCTAGCAATGATATAGTAGCATTGAAATTTTTATCATTGTCTTACGCTTAATTAGCTTATGATAAATATCACCAAAACTAGGCATTACACAATAAGGAGCATGTCTGCGCTTTCTGTCAATAGGTCGTTATAGTTTTAGATCATTTGATATTCGTCACTTTCAGTAATAATCTTTGTAAGTCATTTTAAAGTCGAGCTTTTTAAGCAATTTTAGGCAATCATTCTTCCACCGAGAGCCGTGAAGTCTCCACTCACATTGACTCTGGTTCCCACGACGGGAAAGGCTCTCCGCGGTGGGTCGAAATCGGGCTGGTGCCGATAAAACTCCTGTCCATCCTTGTACCACTTGGCCTGGTAGATTTTCTTGCCTCCTGGGTCCACCTCGCAGATCAGTGTCAGTTTGTAGCCGCGAACGACGGCCCTCTCGATGGACGTCCTGAGCATCCTCAGACCGGAGCAGCCTGTAGACCAGAGTGGGTCGCGTGTCAGCGGCGACATGGGTGACATGTCAAACAGCTGACCGAGTGTAACGTCAGGCAGCTGACTGAGTTTTATGTCAGACAACAGTGGGAGTACCATGTCAAACAACACAACATATGTACAAAGTGACATGTCAGACAACAGACCGAGTGGCATGTTAGACCAAGTAATATGTCAGACAACACAACTGACAAAGTGACATTCCAGACGAACAGATACATGCTATATCATTCTTAATGCCTGCACTCATGCATTTTAAGGACGCATTGCAATAGTACGTCGATTGTGATTTGCCGTTTGTTTGCCTATCCGACTCACTAACTTTCTCTCTCTCTCTCTCTCTCTCTCTCTCTCTCTCTCTCTCTCTCTCTCTCTCTCTCTCTCTCTCTCTCTCTCTCTCTCTCTCTCTCTCTCTCTCTCTCTCTCTCTCTCTCTCTCTCTCTCTCTCTCTCTCTCTCTCTCTCTCTCTCTCTCTCTCTCTCTCTCTCTCTCTCTCTCTCTCTCTCTCTCTCTCTCTCTCTCTCTCTCTCTCTCTCTCTCTCTCTCTCTCTCTCTCTCTCTCTCTCTCTCTCTCTCTCTCTCTCTCTCTCTCTCTCTCTCTCTCTCTCTCTCTCTCTCTCTCTCTCTCTCTCTCTCTCTCTCTCTCTCTCTCTCTCTCTCTCTCTCTCTCTCTCTCTCTCTCTCTCTCTCTCTCTCTCTCTCTCTCTCTCTCTCTCTCTCTCTCTCTCTCTCTCTCTCTCTCTCTCTCTCTCTCTCTCTCTCTCTCTCTCTCTCTCTCTCTCTCTCTCTCTCTCTCTCTCTCTCTCTCTCTCTCTCTCTCTCTCTGTCTCACTCTCTGTCTCACTCTCTGTCTCACTCTCTGTCTCTCTCTCTCTCTCTCTCTCTCTCTCTCTCTCTCTCTCTCTCTCTCTCTCTCTCTCTCTCTCCCTCTCTCTCTCTCTCTCTCTCTCTCTCTCTCTCTCTCTCTCTCACACTCACGCACTCAGACCCCTTTTCCGTTTCCCAGCTAAATGGGTGTCTTAAGTCATCTCATCAGGCCAGATAAGGCTCACAAAGTTAACCTGCGTCACAGCTTACCTGGTCAGAGTACATATGTAGATAAGCCCCACCTGAGACAGTTGATGTCAACTAACTTCGTGCGTCCAGTCCAACCAAATGACTGCTCTGTATTTCATATGCTGCATCTGCGCTGATGTCCTAACAGACCACTGAGGCTCGGTTTTACCGACAGAAGCTGGTCCCAGCAAACTGTTCCGAGCACATCGGCAGGCCACAATTCATTACATGTAAAATACCCATGTGAATCGCCTCGAGAGTGAACAGTTTTATTACATTAGCGAGAATTTCTCAGCAGGCGTCGCGGGCCAAATTTAATTCCGTCCCAGCTCTGCAAATGTCCAATTTGTGAATAGTAATTGCTCTCACACCCAGTAAGAGTCGAGAGACGATACATTTTAGTAAAGATAGGGCTGAGATCGCTGTGGAAGCCCCTGAGGCAGTGTCCATCTCCAACGCCAGCAAGAGCGCTGATTGCAATGAGTTGTCAGTTAGAATAACATTAACTGATTTCCGTGAATGCCGATTCGGTTCTCTCAATGGCGAAAATCTCCTTAAATATACGCCCCAAAACCCCGAACACCATGCCGGTGACTGAAGTCTCATTGATCTCTGAGGAAGTCCCCTCGACCTCGAGTCGCTGCACTTGACCTCAAGTGGGCTGCAGGTGGCCTCGAGTCGGCTGCAGTTGACCTCGAGTCGCTGCACTTGACCTCGAGTCGCTGCACTTGACCTCAAGTGGGCTGCAGGTGACCTCGAGTCGGCTGCAGTTGACCTCGAGTCGCTGCACTTGACCTCAAGTGGGCTGCAGTTGACCTCGAGTCGGCTGCAGTTGACCTCGAGTCGCTGCATTTGACCTCAAGTGGGCTGCAGTTGACCTCGAGTCGGTTGACCGCGGCAGTATAATGTGTCCAAGCACGTACCACCGATACACCGTCGGCACGTCAGACCGCCGATCATCGTCAGCGGCGACGAACGGCCGGCGACCGTCGAGCGCGACACGTGCAGGGGGCAGCGCTGCGCGGCCGTGGCGGCACCCTGATGGCTCCAGTTGCGGGCGCCGCGGCCGGCCAGTCATGATCTGATAAGAGACGAAGTGAGCGCTGCTGAGCTCTTTTCGGGTTATAAAGCTCTCAGCGTCGCCAGCGTCGGCTCGACAGAATTGCGTGGCGTAATACGATTCACATGAAATCCCTCAAATCTGCTGTTATACTTTGACAGCTTGCTAGCAGGGCGGATATTGTAAAACGCGAACACTAAAAATAATACATTATTTTAATATTTTATCTGAGACAACAATAAAAAGTCATTTCAATCAGCAGCATCTTAACGATATATCATTCTTTTTTAAAATTGAATAACGCTAACTGCTATTGATCAGGCGGTAAACGCCGTTCTATCTGGCAAAAATATCAGCAGTTTGCGGATATATCCCGTCGACGGTCGATGAATTCATCCACGAAGCTAGTAAAGCTGAACCACTCGTTTTCAATCAGGCAAAAGCTGTAAACGGTTCCCGACGGCTGAATATCCACGACATGGAGCGGCCACAGTCGGGCCCGCGTGACATTCAGCAAATTTATACGGCGGGCCGAGCGGCGTCGCTGCGTCGGGCCCGTAATTCTGTCCCGCGACTAAGGCAGTCCGTCAACTCCACTCAGCGCGTCGGCGGCCGCCGGCTGACTCATGGGACGCAGGGTAGCCCGGGCCGCGCCGCGGCGGGCTGCGCCGGGCTCATTGCGGGCTCATTGGGACATGGACCCGGCCCCGGGTGCCTGCAGGACCCGTTTTTGGATTTGTCACGGAGATGGAAGTAGGTATTATTCAGTTCTACACCGTCCTTCCGACCATATCGTGTCAATGCTGTCGTGCGGTAGGACTGGGGTGTCAGGTTATAAATGGAGCCCGTCAACACTGAACTCGCAGCGTGATAAAGTGATCTCGGTATGTAAATTCTACCCTCGACTCCTTTGCACCAACATGGCGTTGGCCGATTGAGGTGGAAAATGTTGTCGGATGCAATAAGTTGATGTTTGATATTGACAGGAATAAATTGGACACGCGAACCAAAGGGCGTACGATTTGCCCTAATCGTGTGTGTTCTATGCCAAATATGTTTGCATTCATTTGTCTTATTGTCAGCAGCATTATGCGTGCCTGGTAAAGTCAGCACGGTGCTTTGCAAAAGTTTTTAGATTTAGCCACCTACGGTCAAAGCGGTCTGAGATAGCCGTAAATATATATAGGCCTCCCTCTAAAATGGAGCGGATATTCTCTCCCAGCTGTGGTGTAATTTTTTAGTGAATGAAAAACAACTGCGTTCTAGTTGTATAGGTCACTACCCGGGCCGGATCTACTATAAAGGTCAGCGCCATGTCAGTGAATGCATCGGCACTGCTCAGACTTAAGTTGGACTATTTCGCTTCGCTGACTTGTCCAATACCCATTCCAAAGGGCCCCAGCCCTGAGGAGATCGTCCACATTAACAATTCATGCATCAGATATTCCAGGCACCGCTTCTGAGAGACAACCACTAAATCTGGGAAGCGTGTCAGCCCCTGTCAAAAGCGATTGTTCAATGCATCTGATCGACCATTCGGCGGTCTCGACTGCCCATCTCGGCGCTGCCAACTTATCTCCCACGCATCTCATCAGCAACTACGGACTAGTTCAATGATTGCACATCAGCTGAGGTAGGCGACCCCATCGCAACGTACGACATGTCATCAGGGGCTATTGACCCTGACAGACAGACAGACAGACAGACAGACAGACAGACAGACAGACAGACAGGCAGACAGACAGACAGACAGACAGACAGACCGACAGACAGACAGGGACAGACAGACAGACAGACAGACAGACAGACAGACAGACAGACAGACAGACAGACAGACAGACAGACAGACAGAAATTAAACAAACAGACGGACAGTCAGACAAACTGACAGAAAAACACACAGATAGTCAAACAGACAGACGGACGGACGGACGGACAGATGGTCAGAGTGACGAATGAAGCAAAGAGTGATTTTCGTTCTCAGCCCCAGAGTTATGTCGACCTTCGTTATGCCGGGGCTCCGATAGCACCCTGAAGGCCGGCGGTGATTCGTCGGCTCTCGACCGAGACTGCCTCCTTCCATCTTCCATCTTCCTTCCTTGTGCCATGCCGCCATCGGCACAAAGCAAGCAGACAAAGCCGGCGCGATTGGCCGCCGAGTTTCTGCTTGCTCAGTGCCAATCAATGGCCGGCAAACAGCGTGTCAAATTGCCGGTCCCGGCGGGCGCTCTCAAAACTGCGGCTGACCAGGGCAAACGGGGCGCCGCCAAACATTCCCCGGCGCCCCCTCCCCTGCCAATGACCCGGCGCCGGCGGCGGCCCGCCCCGGCCGGCCGAAATTGACACTGGTTTACGAGGTGCCGCTGGCCGGCTAGCGGGGCGGTCCGACGGACGGATCGGAGGGCGGCGGTCCGGCGCAGCGGCCCGGTGGAATCGCGACGACACTCGGACCGATTGACTTGGCGGCGGACTGGGGACCGACTGTATGCGGGCCTCGAGCCGCTCCGAGACGCTCTCAGACGTTTTGAGCCGTCCCGAATCACCGGCTTACACGCTCCCCGCGAGGAGTTGGCAAACGGCAGGTTGTATGAAGAGTGGACGGCACGAATTGTAAGCTGAGAGCTGAAATACGTGCTCCAACTCAAGACTGATCCAATGTTCTCAGAGCATCAGAGAAAAGGGCGCCTTCATCCAAATAGCAATAATCTAGTATGACTGTCGCTGTTCGTTTATGTCGTGAGTCACTGACAAAGTGTGCAGAAATAGAGTAAGAAAATTGAGACACTAGGTAAAGTTTTATAATAATTTAAATAAAAATGGTTCCTAAACACCACATCAACTGCCACTTGACAACCTCGCACACGAA